TTAAGCTGTTGCATCTCGGAATTAAACGGTAAGTTTTATGCGAGATTGATGAAACGAAACGAAGCAATTTATCGTTTCGGAAGACATTCGCTTACTTTTTAATTTATCGTTACCATCTCGTTATAACGATAAATAAAAAAAATCTAATCTTGCTGCATTTCGAGACAAAATGAGCTCTATCCAAAAATCTTTAATTCTTTTTCTGTTCCAAATTTAATGAAATTTTATATATTTTTTTAAAAAATTACAGTATTTTATTCTCGTAAAGTATTAGCTAGAGCTTTAGCCAATTAGAAACCGTTGTTTGTCTACAAAGTTTTTTTGTTTTAAGTGAAAAAGATCTTTTAAAATTTCTATTAATATAGTTTTGAATTTAAAATTCATTTGTTTTTAATATTTATTTGTTTTTATAAAATGTAATTATATGTTTATATGATTATAGTTTCACATTATAATGTATTTATTATATACTTATATAATTAAAATTTCACATTATAATGTAATGAAATGATTGTTACGCAAACAATTCCCTCTGGACAATAATTTCTAACAATTTTTTAGAATAAAGATTAGCAATTTTCGGAATAATTTCACTTAGGAGAATTAGACGGAAAATAATTGCCAAGAGATTAATTCCGCTCGAGGAATTCTATAAAAGCCAGAGCGCTAACCATAACAGAGGTTGAAATAACAACACGAGAATACTTCACACAGTTAATATAATAATTAGTTGTAACAATATATAATATAAATATAGAAGTAAATATCAAACAAATATTATAGCGATTCTCGTAATAAGTATGAAAGAAAAACATAGAAATATATATATATATATATTTCTATGTTTATAAACATAGAAATATATATAAATATATATATATATTTCTATGTATATATATATATATATATATATATATATATATATATATATATATATATATATATATATATATATATATATATATATATATATATATAAATTATCGTCAAATTTCAATTCGAAATTTGACCATTATCCAGACATTGTTTTAAATCTTTATCTCTATTTGTACACTGTTATGCACACAGATTCAACCTACTGATGGCGGATTCAACAAGTTGCACTATTTATTCTACGAATATCTTTGGGTTACTGGAAGCAACAGCTGTTTTTATGAAATATTAAACTATTAGGACTGAATATATGGAAGCAACTGACAGGTTTTGGAAGTAGTAAAGTCAGGATGTTGCAGATAATTGGTGATACACAATGGACTTCAAAGGATAAAACTCTGGAAGATGTAATAGGAAGTTATTCTTCGTTGCAAGCAAATCAATTTGTACTTATGATTCGTGTACTACACCGCATTGCTTTATGCAATGATTTGGTTCATACGAGTCTTTGAGTTTAATGAAAAACTGGATAAAATTTGAAACAGTATTGACTGCAATTGTTTATTTGCAGATTTTCAATATATGCACACCAGTTTCAAAATATTTACAAACGGCTAGCTTGGATATTATAGTTGTCATGAAGATGGTCGAAACCAATTTAAACCGCCTCATTGCAGTCCTTTAAAAATTTACCGATATCCTCATGAAATCTGAATCATATTCAAGATTAACTAATAATATCATATCTAAAGCTAACAAAGATACCGAAGAAATTTTTGAAATTAAACTCCCACAAAAAAAAAGCTCTACAAAACAAAAGCAGATGCCTGATAAAAGAATGAATGATGAAAGCAGACAAATATTTCAGGACCCAGTAAGGCGGTTTAATATATTCTATGTTGTTGTGGATACTGCTACTACAGCAATTGAAGTTTGAAAGGAAATAATGGTTGTATCTTAATGTTTTGTCTCCTCAAAACTTTCCATCTTTGCGTAACCTTGACAACTATATTTCTCATGGTTTAGCCAATCTTGCTGGTATACAGAGGGAAACACTGTGCACATAAATGACATCATTTGCGATTAATTTCCCATTATTTAGTAAGGCTGATGAAACTGAATCAGAGAAATGCTCCTCCTAAAAAGACTGTCACAGATGTTTCAGTTGCGTTTTTTGTCTTCTCTATTGTTACAATTTACATTGTTTTGCATATTCTAATATAAATGTTGCATATAAAATGGCATTATGTCTCCCTTACACACAAGTCAAGTGTGAGCAAGCTTTTTCGAAGTTGAAGACTGTGAAAAATTTCTTTTGTAATCTTTTATGTAAAGAGCACCTCGAATCACTTATTTTGATGAATGTTGAGAATGACGTAAAAATTGAGTACAGTGAGGTTGTCAAAACTGGTGCTACGCTGCAATTTAGGATTAATGTATTTTTAAAGCCTTGCATATGGATTTATTTTTTTAAACGTGCTGAATAAATTGATGGACAGAGTGCATGGTAAAAGATATAGAAAATTGCATCCACATTATTAGAAACGTCCTATACCCTTGTAACAAAAAAACTATGTGATTAATGGTTTAATTTATTTTTACTATATTTTTTGCTACCACAAGGGCCCCATCTATTTCTCATCCCCCCGGGTCTCTCAGCTCCATCTGACCTTTAATGAAATAAATAGCATTGCTATGAATATATGTTTGCTCAATTCCTAGAAGGTCACCTCTAATTGGTGAGTAGATTATAAAATGAAGTACCAGCAAGTTAGCTCGGTACTTTTGTACCAAAATTACCACTTTTTCATTTATATGATTTTATCAAAACATGTAAATTTTTTCACCACTAAAAAGTAAAAAAAGGTATTATGCTAAATCTTAGACAATAAACCAGTTGGACTGTTTCCAACTTCTGTATTCGATATAATGGGCACCCAAAAAAGTCATTCAAAAAAAAAAAAGTAAAACGTTGAATAAGTTTATTGTTTTTACTCTTTTGCTACAGGACGGTAGCAAGAGCGTAAAAATGGCAATTATATTTTTCTGATAAACTCTATTTTTTATAAGGATTGTTTAAAACTTTTATATATTTACCGTAATCAATAGAACTCCCTCAAGCATAGTTATGTTCAAATATATACCAATTTGTCGTTAGGGGCCATCCATAAAGGACGTTACCATTTTTTAGCCATTTTTTGACCACCTCCTCCCTTTGTCACCCTATGTTTTCTCGATATCCTCTTTGAAAAGGATGTCATAAAATCCTGCCCCTTCCCCTATTTTTAACCCTCGATAAATTTATTTTATCTCGCTATGATGTTTGAATCTGTTGCTACACTTTTGAACAATAAAATTAAAAATATTCTCATACATTATCTTCTTAAAAACACATGTTTACATAGTTTTCTATGTTAACTAAAATAAAAAATCTATAAAGTGACGTCCTTTTCTGACAACCTCCCCCCTTCCCTTATCCTTTTTTGTCCTTTTTTTTTTAACCCCTACCCCATTTTAAGATGACGTCCTTTATGAATGGCCTCTTATCAACAAAGCTTACCATGACGTAATAATGTACAAATATAGCATATTTACACGATTGAATTTATAAAAGCATTTGATGCAAGAGCACGTCTCGCACATGTTTTGGTTTATTAGTTTATTAGTTTTTGTGAGTACCTTGGTTACATTACCAATTTTCTAAACTGAGGTGATCTTTTCATCATTAGATCGAAAGTAAATTTTTTATTCAATTCTAAAAGTTACCGCAACCAATTGTGATCTACTTTGAGTTTTTGTGTTTTTCCCCCCTTAAACTGAATGACGTCAGACTTATTTTTTAGAGAAGCAAGTGCTGACTCTTCTTACGTTTCAACCGTTAGTGTTGCAATATATCAAAATTCCGTTAGTAAGTTCGGTCAAACTCATTCAAACTTGTTCAAGTTTTGATTTTTTGAATTTGAGAAATCAAATCCAAAGTTGTCAAAATTTGTTAAACTTGAATTTGGTTCAAAGTCGAACTTCAAAATCAAATTCAAATATATTTATATTTTGTCAAATTTCTTTAAATAAACTTTTCAAAATTTATCATACTTATATCAATATCATTTGAAATTTTTTTCAGCTAAAACGTTATTTCAACTTTAAAGGAATTATTTTTCAACTTTTAACGCCGTTGGCGCAGTGATTGGTGCTGAAAACGTTATACTTGTAATCCAAAGAATTTAAGTTTAAATCCCGCTCGAACAAATAAGCGTTGTCCGTTAAGTTGAAGCTGGCAACCAACTTTTTAAATACTACAATTAATAATCACTATGGTGATGGTCTATAATAATAAAAATCACTATGTGGTGGTGCTCTATGGTTAGATCATTAGGTCTTCTTATAGTTTCCTTAAAAAAAATAGTTGTGTAAAAAAATCTGAAAAAAAAAGGGCGCTTTTTAAAAAAAAGAAATTTTAGCATTAAGTTTAGTTCCGTAAAACGCAATTTCCGCATACATATTAAAAGATTAAATTCTTTTATTAGTTCGACTTAAAACAAAAAAAGAAGGTAGAGCAGAGCTAGTTGAGTATAGGGGCAAGTTGGGCAATTATAATATCTCAAAAACTACGCATCATATGACAAAGCATTTAATTAATGAAAGTTAGGGAATTACTACATTAACACAATTCGCAACTAAAAATTGTTGGAAAGCAGTGGAGTAAGATACACGGATACTTTTTCTATTTGGGACCAAAAAAGTAAAAAAAAATAAAAAAAAATTTTCTTTTTCTTTTAAAAGGTTGTAAATTTTTCTATCTGACATTATTTAAGTGTAGATATTTTAACAATTTATCAAATTTTCGAATAAAATTACCCGTCCTTTCCTAAAACTAGCTAATCTCTTTAAAACCTAACTAATGTGTAACCTAGTCTAGTAGGGGTAAGTTGACCAGCTTTGAAAAAAAAAATGAAAAAGAAAAACTGAACTTTCGAAAACAAAAAAACAACTTTGATATGAAATAATTTAAATGTGCATTATTTATTTATATTTTTAAAATCAGTAGTTTTTAAATCGGCTTTAAAGTTTAATTAGTTGTATAAAATAATATTTTTATATTTTATGACACTTTTTTACAATTTTTTTTTTGTCTTCTCTTACACATCTTTTCTCGCAATTAAAAAGTATAAAATAAAAATTTATAAATTATACACACGCTTACTATTAGTAAAAAAATATATAAATCTGACGCACCGTCCATGAGAACTGTTAAATTTAGTAAAAATAGCTCAGCTAGCCCCACTCTACCCTACTTAGTATTGTCTTAAAAAAAAAATATGTTGCTCATTCTTTCCATTCAAAATAATAACATAATTCTTTAATTAAATATAACATAAAACTTTAATTAAAATAACATAATTCTAAAATTAACAGCAGCTCAAATAAAGAAATCGAAACCAAAACCGTCATTTTTCATAATCCTTTAAGCTTTTCAAAACAATAAAGCGAACAAAAAAGAAAAATAAACTTTTAAAGTAAAAAAAAACGAAATTAAATAAATGCGAATGATATAAAGCAAACAAATATAAAATAAGATAAAACAACACCACTTAGCGCTCGACGAGGTCAAGACGTACTTTAAGAGCGCGTTCAGTTTAGAAAGAGTCTAGAAACTAAATATTTTAACAAAAAATGGCGTAAAATGACATTCAACATTCAACGTTAATTGTAAGAACTATATTTTAATAACATAAATATAAATGAATAATAATATATAATAGACAAGTAATACAGAAGTAAGGTATAGAAGAAAGTCAGGAAATACATAAGTAAGTAATATTGAATCCATTTAGTAACTAAAGTTCACACATTTTTATTGCACTGATATTATCTATATAACAATTATTATATTACCTACATAACAATTATTTTCTACATAAAAATTATTCAATTATTTTTGTCAGGTCTGCTACTAGTAACATGTAGCCCAGTACAACCTGTTTAATGTTCTGCTGCCTTGTAGGATACTCTTTTTTAGACGAAGGCTAGGAGATGCCTACTCCAACTTAAAACACCCTTGGATTGGGGCACTTAGTTGAGTAAAGGCTAGATATAGTGTCTCGATAAAAATACTCATCTTGGGTAGACGTTAAATGCATCCGGGTAATGTATTGTAGAAGGTCTCCCAGGCAAAGAGGTAAACAGGTTCTATCATTTGACCAGGTTTACACCCCTTCTTCATCTATTAAGCTGTTGTAGATATAATCCTAATGAGGGCACAGCTCTAAAACTTAGTTTTATGGTTCTGAGGCTGGGCGGTATTCAGGTTTCCTGAACTCTGTGGAAGCTCTTAGATAGGCTGATTCCATCAACAACAGTAAAATATTAGAGTGCTAACAGTGCCATGTTGCGCATAAATGGTGTTCTTGTTTGTACTTTTGGTGATCATAGTCGAGGTCTATGAAGGGGGCATTTGAACTTGGAAAAGATTTCACTTGGCAACAGCATGAGGCTCTCAGTGGCTGGTGAACTTTGACTCAAATAAAATTCAATTTTTTTGGCTAATCGTTATCGCAACATGCTAGATCTTCCTATATTTTTTAACGGTAATGTACTCAATGATTCATCTACCCTTCGTCTTCTAGGATTAACTCCTACTTCCAATTTTTCTTGAAAACTATTATCAAATCCATTGCGAAATTAGCATCTGCTAAGGTTGCATCTCTTTATTGAGCTCGACACTTTTTTACTCCGAACTCTAGTCTTTATCTCTATAAATCTCAAATCCGTTTTTGTGTGGAATATCGTTGCGATATCTTGAGCGTATCTTTGAATGATGCGCTTTCACTTTTATACAATGTGCAAAAATGCGAAGTAAATATAGTTGGACCTGCTTCTGCAGCCGACCTTCAACTGCTTCTCTTTCTCTTTTCTATAAATACTATAATGGGCACAGATAATTAAGTCTAATCCTTTTTGACTTAATTATCTGTGTCTAGGTGCTCTAAAAATTTATATTCGTCAATTTTTTTTCTTCAAACATTAGTTCCTTGGGATTCTCTCCCTTTATCTTGTTTATCTGATTTTCGTCTGTTAACCTTGCTTTATAAACTTCATCTTTTCTTTTTCAGTAACTTCCAACTCTGATAGTAGTTGCTTGTAGCTTAGAGGTATCGGGGCATGTCCCCCTCCATCTTTTTTACCTATTTTTTTTCTTTTCTTTTAGAAATGTATGATGTTTTGAAAGCCATAAAGACGGTTCTGGGAGGAGGGGGGAATTTAGTTGGCTGAAAAAAAATTCAAAATAATCAAGCAAACTTAAAAAAAAATCAATTTACAAATTATAATACATAAAAGATGAAGAGATGAAAGTCAAAAACTATTTTTTTTTTGTTAGAAGTGAAGATACTAAAAATAAAAAAAAAAATTTATATTATATATCTATGTAACAATATTATCTATATAACAATTATATAAATACTATATAAATATTATCTATATAACAAAAACTTAATTAAAGCAAAGGTGCCAAGCTAAGCATAATAATTTAAAATAAAATTGTTTTTAACAGTTAATTTAAAATAATGTCAATATTTCATAGAATATAAGTAATTTTATTTAGCTGCTCGATTTTATTTAACTGCAACTCTTGCACCGCCTATGCTACATATTGCACATCTATGCACACCTTGTTTATGTTAGTGTATGTTTAGTTGTCTAATAATAAAAGTATAAGACAATAAAAAAATATATATATCGTCGTTCTGGTTTCACAAGTATCTAATCAAAATTTTAAATCAAGGGAGAATGTTGTAAAAAAAAATCTTTCTTTTTGTTGTATTATTTATTTTTTATTGTATTTAATTATTATTTGTATGTAATATTTATTTATTTGTTTATTTTTTATTTATTTATGTGTTTTTACACATAATGCATAACAAAAATACATAAAAAAGTAAATAATAATAATTATATATAATTTTAAATTTTAAGAAGTCATTAAAAAAATAATAATAATATTAAAATTAATATAAAGATATTTAAAAAAGAAAAATATTATTTTGCTTAATTCTCCCGAGATTAAAATTTTTAGTTAAAATCTTGTAAAACCAGCGCTCCTAAAAAAATAATAATACATATAACCAGCACTACTAAGTATATTAAAAAAATAAAAATACATTTAATATTCAATTTGAAATCTTTACCTAGATAAAAATTTGCATTTTTTATTACTAATTTGAAAAAATTTAACAAAATACCGTATTTTAAATTTTTGCTTTTTGAAAAGTGTTTCATATTTTTGATCTGCGGTTACCGTATTATTAATTTTTACCTTTTTCATAATTTTTATCGGCGGTAAGGTATGCCATACCCAAAAAACTAGCTATTGGTTTTAGAAAAATTATAAATTTATAAAGAAAATAAAAGCTCAGAAAAATGTTTAAAAAAATCAACAACTGATAACGAAAGAAATAATAAATATTACAAGAAATATTTCAAAAAAATAAAAAAAAAAAAAAAAAAAAATATACTTTTGTTCGAGTTTACTGTATGAGGCATTTGTAAATCCTAAAAAGACTCTGACTATAATAAAATAACTCGGAAAAAAAATTAGCCATTAACAAATCATTCAAGTCTTATTTGAAAAAAATCTTATTTTGTAATGGACGATTCAGAACTTTTTATTGTTGCTGGGTTCAGTTTTTAACACGCTTCAAACAAATAAAAGCGCAAATCTTGGCAAATTGAATCTTGCAAAAGCATTCTTTGATATTAAAAAACTACCACTTTTCATTATTTTTAATCTTTTCTTAAAAAAATGGAATTTTTATTGATAAATTAGAGTTTGCGAAAATAATTCCTATTTATGAAAAAAATAACTTCAGTGTTATCTCAATACTTTCCTGTTTTTCAAAGCTTCTTGAACATATAGTGTACAATAGAATATACAATTATCTTAAAAATAAATATATTTTATATCATAAATATTTATATAATATATTTTATATCATAAATACAGTTTTTTTAGTTTCCCTAAAGTATACATTACTAGACTTCCGCTCTTTTAACATTTACCGATTCAATTGTAATTAAATGTTAAGAGAAATAAATAAAAAAAAGTAAATAACATAGCACAAGCATTACATAGCACAAGCAGGGTAATCATTACATAGCACAAGCATATATATAAGTTTCATACTCACTGAATAATAGTCAAATGAGATTTTTAGATTCACTTATTGATTTAAATAAGTAAATTGTTTTTTAAATGCATCTTTAATTAAATGATTTTTCAAAAAAAGTTTATTTGACCAAATTGATTATTTACTCTAAAGGTCTAAAGGACTATTTATTTATTGCCAATTATTATTTATTTATTGTTAATTTAATTATTAAAGGACTATTTATTCTGAAGAAAAACGTTTAATAAGGTAAATTATGGAACAAAAATTTTAATAGTTTTTAGTAGATATTTAAAAAATGAAAAGCATTTAAAATGAGCATTTTTATTATTTATTAACTTTATCTTTAAATATATTAAACTTAAGTTTGTAATGGCAATCATTAAAAATATCAAAAAGCCTATGACATGTATATAAGTAAGTCAATAACATTTTTCTTTTATTTTTTGAAGAAATTGTTATTATTATTTTTTTTTTGAAGTTTTTTGAATCTAGTTCAATAACCTTTTAAGTAAGTTTTTTTAAACCATAAACAAATAATGATTTTTCTCTGCTCTTTTTGATTGATAACTTTTGTGAAAGTAACTAACTATTCTTGTATTTTGTATATATACTTCACTATTCTTTAAATAGAATTAGTTGAATACATGGTGGCCACAGTCCTGGAATGTCCTGGAATGTCCTGGATTTTTGCAAGTGTCCTGGAATGTCCTGAAATGTCCTGGAAAATTACATTTTTTTCAAAAATGTCCTGAAATGTCCTGGAACTTTTGTTTTTCTGAGTCAAGTTAAAAAATTACTAATAATATTGAAGTAATTTTAAATTTTTTATGAGAAAATTTTTTTTATATAAATGGTTTGAATTTAATTTTTAAATAAGAGAGTAATAGTAAAATAATAATTTAATAATTTAATAATTTAATATTCTATTCTATAATTCAATCAATATGAAAATATAACGTAAAAATAATTGATAATATTCATTTAATAAAATATAAAGTGTCCTGGAAAACGCAACAAAATGTCGTGGAATGTCCTGGAAATGTCCTGGAGTTAAACTTTTAAAATTTTGTGGCCACCATGTGAATAGTTCATGTCCAGTTGATGTAGTATGTATGAAACAAAATGTTGATTTTATGAATAAAAAAAAGTTCTTTAAAAATTATTCATTTTTTATACTAATCTAATCGAGTAAGTTTAAACAACTCTGTTTTATCTGTTGACTAGTCATATCTTTATTTGTAGTTTTTTTAAAATATTTATTAATATTACCTGAATATTTAAATATTTATTAAAATACTCAAGTTATTTTTGTTTAAATTAAGAAAAGTAGTAGCACAGTATTTATAATGGGGAGTAATAACGGTTTGAAATATAAACTATTTAGTCCATTGAGTTAAATATTTGCTTATTCGAGCAAAATATCCATAATATCCAACAATCACCAAACTAATATTATGTATTCTAATATTCTTTTATTGTACTTTTTTTGATTTGTTTAAATATCTCTTCTTTTTTTCAAATTTACAAAAAGCATTTCTATTGACTTTTGTGTATTTAATTAAAGCTTTATACTTTATATTTACAGTTTATTTTACATTTACAAAACATTTTTATGTCTTAATTAATTAATAAATAATTTATTT